CATGATGGAGTGGTTTCTAGTGATAATGCATGCATCTTCGGTGATTGGAAAGAATGGCAAGCAATTTTTAGAAAAAGTAAAAAGATTTTATTTTATTTTATTAAAAAAAAAAAAAATCTATTAGGTATGAGGGAACAAATGAAAGAGAGAGAGATAAATTAAAAGGAAGGAATGGGGTGGTTGCTCAAAAGGGTAGCCATGTGAGAAACATCATGCTCTAGAATGATGTTGTCTTTAATTTTCTTTATATATTATTATTTTTCTTGTATGTTAATTAAGGATATATAATATGTGTATAGGAATGGGAAGCATGACTGTTTTGATTTCTTGAATGAGGCAAAAGTGGGGACTCTTGAGTCTTGTGTGTGGATAGATAGATAGATAGATCCAATCTAGAATTAGAGTCTGCTTATTCTACTGCCTGTCTACATGCCCTAAAATATCTGTGGGAATTAAAGACAACATCGTTCAATAAAACTACATTAATAATAATAATAATAATAATAATAACATGACTCTACATTACAAGGAGGACCATGCCAGTTGGTGTTGTGGATTCATAGTTGAAAGCATGTTCTTTATGATTGGTTTGAGCTGGATGCTGTAACCCAATCAAGATTAATAATCTCTACCCTAAAAATGCCTCTGCATTGTTTTCAGTGAGCCACTTACATTCCCTATATATATATAATGACCTTAGGGAGACAAGATCAGAGATTTTTGGTATCTTTTATTATTATTTTCATTTTGTAGCTAAGGTTATTCCTCTCGTTTTTATATAGCGAAAAGGAATGAGGTTATGAGAGGTGCATGCTCGAGGTCGAGAGTGGTCATATACCTAACTTATAGCCACAAGGTTGGGCTATTTAGTGGGCTATACAACACCGTATGGATCACTTCACAAAAGATTACAGCATCAAACTCGCATTTCTTTTGTACAACAAAACAAATTAGTTAGCGGTTAACAAAGTACTCACAAAATTTTTTTTAGAGTTTGTTTTGGAACTGCTTTTCCAATAGCTTTTAACGTTTTTAATCGGTCAAAACACTAAATGTTATTTTTTACTGTATTTAGTAACATAAATTTTGAATTAGCTTAACAGCATTCTACCGAACTAATTAATTTATATAATGTTTAATTTTTAACGTTTCATAAAAAGCTGCGAAAATGATTAATTTTACCGAATAAACTCCTCAAAACAAAGAATCCCGCAAACTTAGCTCTACAGGTAAATAAATTTTTGGGTTAGACATTCCCTCGTAATTCCTATATCTAAAAAGTAAAAACAATAAAAAAAATGTGAAATTGATAAACACGTTTCAAGTTCTGATAGGAAGCCCCTTTTTGTACCAATGTCAGGGACGTCCCTTTCATTTTGGGGTACTGAATAGTACACAACTGAAAGGCATATTGATGAATGATGAAGAGAATTTGGCACTAAGAAAGGGATATGTCCTAACTATTCATCTAGCAGGCGTGACCTAATATTAGTCTCCTCTTTCCCACAATTAAGCTATGGTATAATTCCTACACTATAACCCTACAATTACTCCTAAGTCCTATAACCTATAACATATATGTACAAGCTACATTTGGGATATAACATGTAGAGTTATATTTTTTTTTATTATTATTTGGTAAATAAAGGGAGGAGAAAAAAAAAATCTGCATTGGATAAAGGAAAATCATGAATAAACTACACCATAAAAGTCGTGAAAAAATCAAAATAAGATGTCATCTTCGGGATTTTCAAATAAATAAGATCCCAATATAAAGAAAGGAAGACCCGAAAGTCAATCTGCACAAAAATTAACTTTACGAAAGATAAAAGATAAGTGAATGAATCTGCAGACAACTAAATTTAGAAGAAAATTTAATATAATGAACTAAATTATATGTTTATTCCTGTGCTACGAGTAATAATATTTTATAAATATAATTTGATTCGATTCGATACAGTAAAATTATAAATTTAAATATCTAAGTAATGGGAGTCTAATTATTGCTTAATCTATACAAAATTTAATACGTATAGGACGAATTAAGCCGACCAAACAGCTAGTACCCTCACTGCTATTGAGACGAACCCATTAAATTAATCCATTGGAGGAGACAAATTGATAGAGAACTTTGGTACGTTGTGCTTGGTAAATAAAATAGCTAAGGAATTAATAAATTTAAATATCTCTAGTTAATTTTTTTTTCTTTTAAAAAAAAAATATAATTTAATTTGTTGGCACCAATTATTTAATTATAGGAAGTGATTGTGTGCTTAATCATATCATATCTAGCAGTAGCTTTCATTATGAATAATGGGAATATCTAAATTAAGGAATATTTACATAAAATGTCACTGAATTTTGATGTGGGTATCCTTGTTGGAATATCAAATGATTACTCTTTCTGACAATTATAATGTTAATGAGCACTATATTCCAATTAAGACGTTTATGTCAAAAACCTTTCTGTTTGGCCAACCACAAACATTAGTCAATAATAATTATAGATTTTACTACTAATTAGTTTCTAATTATATTCCTAACTTTGACCTTACGTTTATATATGCAATTGTTAGTTTGTGAATTTGGTTTCTTAATTTGTACGCGATAAGGCAATCCTAATTTATTCCAATTATAGGTATGCAAAAAACATATACTTTTTTTTTAAAATATTTATGTGACCTAATGGATTAGAAGTAACTCTCGCTTTTGAATAATATTAATCAAATTAGTGATAATTTCTATAATATAGTCTATAAAAAACTCAAATTTGAAACTTCTTACTCTCCACATTTTTTATAAAACGTAAAAATATCAATTAGATTACACCCGGTTGGCATGCAAAAAACAAGTTTAATGCCAGCACGGGACATAACCTATGGGATAATATGTTTGGCTCTCCTAAGATGAATAACATTGGGATATTAGTTACTTGCCATGAGTTTTTTTTTTTTTTCCTAATTGTTTATTAATTTTTTTATACTTTGAAAATCCTTTAAAAAAAAAAAGAAGAAAAAGAAAATTGTCAATATGCAATTGCTAAATTTACCCGTTGAACTTAACAGTAATGTTGAATTTATCAAAAAATAAATTTTTTTTATCAGTTTAATATAGAAATATCATTAATTAAAGAAATATATTTAGAATTAGACTTGTCTTGACTGAGTCTATAGATTTATTTATGAATGAAATAAATGAAAATAGAAAATTTTCAAATATTATTCCTACTATATTTTGTTTTAATATATCATTAGAAATATCCTTATTTCAATAAAAAATTATTCTACATAAGTTTAGTTTAAGAGTAGACTCGTGAATTCGGTGTAAATAAATCAACCTCGTTTATTTGAATGACCTAGAACTAAGGTAAGGAGTGAAAAATGAAAGTAGGTAAAGAAGGTTGAATATGATTTTTGAATGGTGTGTGCATGAGCAGCAATGTACTATAGATTGATTCTGTCTCTAGGCAAGTAAACAGAAAAAAGATTTCGAAAAAAAATAAAAGGGGATATGTGATATATAGCATGGATTTGATGGGGATGGAACCCACAAACACAAAGGTGTATTGATGCAAAAAAAAATCAAGGTTGAAATGCAAAAATTTACATAGAGAAGGGGAGGTGAATTCTCTGCTCCAGTGTCATAACAGTACTGTGAGATAGACAAGTATAGTGTAAAAGTGTACATTACAAAACAACAAAACTTGTGGACTTGACTCATTCAAGTTCTGATACCCCCCTCGTGCACATAATAAGATACCCTTCCAAACACTTTTTAATACTGACAAGACCTCTTTTGTTTTCCTTTCCTTTCACCATGGCTAATCTCATTTCTTCTTCCCCTTTTTTTTTTTTTTTTTTTTTCCTTTCACCCATGGCTAATCTCAATTTTCTCTTCCCCTTTTTTTTTTTTTTTTTTCTTTTCTTTCTTTTCATTTTTCTTTATTCTCTTTTTCCCCATTCTTCCATTATATAGCCTTTCTTTGTTTTCTTCTTTAATCCATATCATTGGACCGCAAATTGTCAACCACCTTACTCTTTCCTTGCTTTTCAGGATAAATTGCCATAGGTTTAAATAGTTTCTCTCCTGTACAATGTTCATCATCAAATTAAACCGCTCCGGGATTGAGCGATGAGTAATTCTATCTTGTAAATAAAAAAAACTTGAGATATTCAGTAATATTCCCCTTTTTTTTTTTTTTTTTCTTTTCTTTTCTTTTCTTTTTCTTCTTCTTTTTCCCCTTCTTCCATTATATAGCCTTTCTTTGTTTTCTTCTTTATCCATATCATTGGGACCCAAATTGTCAACCACCTTACTTTTCCTTGCTTTTCAGGATATGCATAGTTTATAGTTTCTCTCCTGTACAATGTCATCATCAAATTAAACGCTCCGGATTGAGCGATGAGTATCTATCTTGTAATAAAAAAAACTTGAGATATTCAGTAATGAAAATAGAAAAAAAAAAAAAATAGTTGGTCCCCCTCGGGCAAGAAGATCCATAATGGCAAAGATAACTCAATCAGTAGCTACGGATCATGTAAGCTAGATATGAGGTGGTGACCACACTGGATAATTCCTAAAATGATGAAACGGAGAACACTAGATGAGTCTTGGTCCAGGCATGCCATTTTCAACTAAATTATAGTCACCACAAGAGCAACTAGTATATATATATATATAAGTTGAATACAATCTTGTATTGGATTGTTAGATACACAGGTGCCATGTGGCAGCTGATGATTTGAACGTGCTTTACACCCTGCAAAATCCAACAGAGAAATCAAAAACCAAACATGTCTGAATTTTTGAGACAATACCTTCAGCAATCAATGCTATATAAGCTAATTATTTCTCATGTCTTACCAATTACCAACGTCATAAAAATGCACTGTGTTTGGATGTTACATGTCAAATTAAGTTGAGCCTTTAATAATTAGCTTCTGTAATTACTGCTTTAAGTTTCCGAGCTTTCAAACACCAAATGGAAAGGGCGGGATATATAAATATATAACATTAATTAATTAGTGGTAATTTTTCTTCTGTATATTCTTCATGCATACTTCTCTCTCCCAGCCCAAAAATAAATAAATAAATAAATAAATAATTCACAAATAAACCCATAAGGGCAAAAAAATTACAAAAAACAGGCAACGGTTCTACATTTAAACCACATACGCTAGGCTATCAGGACCAGGCCACAATCAATTTATGCTCTTCTTCTTCTGTGTTGTCTTCACTGAGTAATCTCCGATTATCACAGCCGAGGCAAGTTAGCATTTGAGCTCTCTTAGCTTCAAAATCCCAGTCGGTGGACCCCACAACGTACAGCATGAGCCCCGCACAACAAACTTGTGCTGATAGTAGACCGAGCCAGAGCCCACAAAACCCAACACCTAACCAAAACCCAAGTCCAATAGCCACTGGCATGCCTACCAGATAGAACGCGCCGAGGTTCACGTTAGCCGCGCTAGACGGGCGTGCACTTCCTCTCAGGACGCCACACCCTACTGTTTGCGGACAGTTACCTAGCTCGCATAACCCTAGGATCGGCAGTGCAGCCGACGTCAGCCGTAGGATATCTCCGTCGCTCGTGAATATTTGGCCCCACCTATACCTCATTCCCGATGCGAACGTGGAAGCTGTGAGGCCCATCATGGCTGAAATGAAAACCGCAACCACAGCGGATAATTTCGCCTTGTGAGGACGGTTTGCACCGAGTTCGTTTCCCACCCGGGTGGAAACAGCAAAACCGAGTGAACTAGGGAAAACATAAATCAACGACGTCGTTTGTATCAAGATGCCCATAGAAGCAACCGTTGATTTGGGGTTTGATAAAAGGCCACATAAAACAATCATGATCTCATACCACCACCACTCCAAACAAACTGACACACAGCTAGGAGCTGCTAGCCGAATAAGCGGCTTCCAGTCAGCGAAACATTCTCGGCTCGGCTTAGTCCACGTCGGCTCGTGTAAACCAGAAACCCACACGTAAGAAACTAAAGACAGGAGCACAAAAAAGTTAGAAGCGGCGGCTGCGGCTGCGACGCCGGAGACTCCGAACTTCCAATGATTGACGAGTAAAAGATTGAAAGGTAAATGAAGAATGGTGCCGACGAGGGATGCTAAAGTTAAAGGGTGGGTGATACCTTGAGCGCGAAGGTAAATGCGGATTGGATGGATGAAAGAGTTTGTTAAAAGGTCAGGAAGAGAGAAGAGCAAATAAGTGTGAGCAAGACTCGTGATGTTGGGATCTTGGTGAAGCGAGAGAAGGATTTTCGACATGTTAAGCCATAGAAAAGATATGGGTATTGATGAAATTAAAAGGAAAATCACAGACCGATGAAGGGTTACAGAAAGGAGTTTTGGACGTTGAGCGCCAAAAGCCTGAGAACAAAGAGGCTCCATACCCAAAGCTAAACCAGAAAGAACAGAGTAACCGGTAATATTAGCAAAAGCAATAGCAAGTGAACCACCGGCGAGTTCAAAGTCACCTAGATGGCCAAGAAAGAGCATAGAGACGATAGACCGAGAGTAGAGAATGAGAGCGGTTAGGGCTATAGGGAAGGCGAGTTTAAAGAGTGATTTTGTCTCTGATATTATATCCGAAACGGAAGGATATAATATTTCCGGCGATGGTGGTGGTGGATTCGTTTTGAGATTTTCCAGGTCTTTTATGGTGTTTGGGAGTGATAAAATATCCAAGTAGGGATGGGTTTGTGATTGTTTCTCAGTTAAGGTAGAAAGACTAAGGGTAGTGTTGTTGGCGTCTGGATTACACATAATGATTATTGGTATGGTGTTTAATCAAAGATAAATAAAAATCTTGTTTCTTCTTCGTTCACCGTCCAGAAGCACTCCCATGAAGAGCACTCTATACTCTCTCCCCAACCCTTTAAATGTATGTAAGGCCGCTAAGTTCTAAGAAAGAACGATAAATAGATAGATATCTCGCTTTTTGCCGTGGATGAGGAGGAAAGGGTGGGTATTAATAGAGGATTTAAGATGGGATTGTTTCTCATGTTGCAATTTAATTTTCTTCTCCTCTGTCTATGGACTAATGGCACTATTTTCATTTATTTAATTACATCATGTAACTTCAATTTGGGAATTTTTTTTTTTTTTTTTTATTCTCCTAGATTTCTTTCTTTTTTATATAAATTTATATTAAATTTCTTAATCTTAACGTAATTGTAGTGTTTCCCAAATTAAATTTAATACTATTCAATTCAATATAATGCATGCACCATAATTTAATTAAAAGTAAATTATTTTTTTATTTTTTTTCCCTTGTTTTTTTAATCTATGTAAATGGAGGCCAGATTATTGTCAGAAAATCTGAGAGGTTCAATTTCCGATAAGTAAAATTGGTATTTCGCGATTGATTTTTCGTTTTTGGCGATTTTTTATTTTCCGGCACCTCCCATTCTTTCTCTGCTCTTTATAGATAGATAGATACGTAAACCAAATCATTACACTATTACTACAACTCTTCTCAATCCAACGGCTGTGATTCTATCACCTTCCTTCAAATATCTGGGCCCCACATTCAATATCAAAGGTTGTAATATCCTCTCCCCTCAGCATAGGAGAAAATTTTGGAGTTATAAAAAACCTTAATTAATCGATGTATATTGATTATTAATACATGGGAGTAAATTAGAATATGAAACGTATCAAATTAATTGTTTCTGTTTCTGTGGAGTAACTTTGTTTCGATCTATAATATAGATTGTGCTGGGTTGTGTGTTTCCTATTTAGGCATTATAAATAAATAATAAATTGCTCCAATTGGTAGACATTTTGGGAGCCAACATAATCACAATTGCTATAGATGAGTTATCATTTAATGTTGCCTGCCCTTTAAATATATCGGGACCTAATTTTATAACCTAGCCCGAGAGTATACACTGTAGACAAGTCTTAAAATCTATCGGGATCTAATTTTATAACCTAGTCGGAGAGTATACATTGTAGACAAGTCTTATCCTGATAGAAAAGAAATAGCAATCAAGTCAAGTTTTTATATCGAAATTGGTCAATTGAGTCATTAAATTTTTAATCAATTTTAATAGTTTAATTTATTTTCTCTCTTTTATTTTAGGAAGGCAGATGAGTAATTAGAAAATATCAATATCCTACTATTTAGATATTAACATCAATAGGTCATTCTCTTGTTTTAATTAGTCGCAGGAATTGAAATAATAATTTGAATTAAAAGAAAATTATTGAGTGCTTGTGGTGTATATGAAAATAATTAAAAGAAAATTATTTTTCATTGTACAAAATATATTTTGTGTGAATGAAAAAAATATATGTTAATTAAGTGTAGTCTGATATTTTAAATTTAAATCCCAATTTGTAGAATATTTACTCCATATAGTGTGACTCATTGCACTTCCTAATAAATAAAAAAAGAAGCATGCATAATGAGTATGTTTAAAATTAATTGGTTTTATTATATATTATAATTTAGTAGAGAATTCAAATAAGTTTTCTATTTAAAAAAAAAAGTTTTCTATTAAAAGGACAGAAAAAAGAAAAGATATTATACAATAAGTAAAAAATAAATAAAAAGAAAATAAAAGAACAAAGGCAATAGATAGAAAATGACACGTGAGGGGTCACACGTGCAGATGGAGGTTTAGATCCTTTTGGTCTGTAATCCTTTCCGTTTGGCACAGAAATGGCAGAGATAGAAAAAGAGTGAAAGAGTGGCAGTTTGATTGATCTGTGATTGGGCCAAAGAAATTTCCTTGCAAAAATTGGACCCCGCTAACCGGTCAGACTCAACACGTCAGCAAACGCATCCCTAAACTAAACTGGGATTTTACTATTAAAAAAGCTCTGTTGGCTTGTGCCGTCCAATGTTGCCTTCCACTAGTTCTTGTGTATGGATGAACTATAACTGTATAAATTAACATTCATTTTTTCTTAGCATTGGAGAGAGGTTCCGAAACTGGATTTCTCTTAAAATATAAAATAACAAAATTTATTATTTTTAGATGATTAATAAATAAAATTATCATAAAAATATTAATTTAAAAAAATTAATATTTTTAGTAATTATTTTTTTAGGTTAAAAAATTCAAATATAATACAAATACAAAATGTAGATCAGCAGCTACTTGGGAAATTTATTAGCTCCTGGTAGGAATTAGTAGGGTCCGACAATTCTGGTTTCTAACCGAAAGTTGAATCAAATCGATCTATTTTAGTCGGATTCGGATAATCATTTTAGAAATTTAGTTATCGATCGGTTTGGTGTATATAAAACTATTTGATTTTTAATTTTTGATTTTGCTACCATATATAATTAACTGAATTTTAAGTCCAATATAATTAATATGCTTTAAAATAACCTAATCTAAATCGAATCAAACCGATTTATTAGATTATAATAACATTTGGTTATGAATTTAGATGCTATAAAAATATACCTGAATAAATCGAAATCGAGATAATTTAATTTGATTAACCAAATGTGAATCAGATAACCAAATTGTATCATAAATTAGAATATCACAAAAACATTTTTATGTACTATTGTACCCATGTGTTTATGGAACAGTAACATTATAAACAAATATCGCATAGGAATTTTATTTTATTTATTTATTTATTTCTTAAGGTGTTGAATTAATGCAGGGAGGGGTCATGGAGAGTGACATAATGGGACATTCACATGTTAGGGTCAAAAATCAAGAATGTCTGATAACGTAAACCAGCAGCAAGCCAGTTGGCAATCATAATCATAATTCTATATTATACATTTAATAAACACCGTTATAAAAATTAATTCAATTAATAAATGATTTTATTTTTCATTACATTGTAAAGAATATATACATGCATGCTTTTTAATTTTTCAAAAAATTAAAAGAAACTGTTATACGATATATGCACAATTAATATTTTTCTACTACGGTAATGATATTTATTTTATAAAAATGAAATAATTTATTCACTGAAATGATAAAACAAAATATACCGTGAAAAATAGAAAAAAAAGAAAAAGTTCGTGATCAACGGAGGACTGAGAGGAATACCACACGAGTCAACATCGTTGGCATTTCCCCAAACAGATGGAAGAAAGGAGACATATCTCTTTCACCAATTAATTTTAACCCCTCAATTTGCGGATTTTTTATATTTTTTAGTTAATTAACAAGTCAAAAGATAATTACATTAACAATATTTTTAATATTTCTTTTAAAAAAACTATTTTTCAAACACGGTATTGCTGATTTTTTTTTTTAAATTCCTTTTATTGGACTATTATTTTCTGAGGAATAGAGTGTGTGTATATATATATATTGCCCTCTGTTAAATCTATCTCTCACTTTAATTTTCCGAAAAAAGGAAAAATTATCTCACACTTTCGCTGTCTTGTTGAGTTGGGTGTAATTGACTGTTATTGTCGTTTCCAAGTGGGTTTGTGAGAGCGTAAGGGTTTGTTTGGTGGGTTGAGTTGAGATATTGAAAGGAGAGAAACTGAGAGATAGGGAGTGAATGAGACAAGAGCGGCCAACCCATTTTGTAAATGTGACCCACACATTTTCAATCTGACACAAAACTCTCGGCTGCACCACTTCTTGTGTTCCTTTTACGGGAGCGCGTTGCGTGTTCCCTATTCCGTGCCGTTTCCCATTGGGTCTCCTCTCATACATCATTTTCTTCATCATTTGCTTTTCCACCGTCCCATTTTCACTTCATCTGCTTACTTTTAACTTCTTAGTATGTACTGCTGTTGTACTTCTGTATTCCATGTTATTTTTACAGATTGCGTCATCTCACTACAAAATAATTTCACTTCACCCTTGCATGCCAATTTTATTCCAACAAAACCCAACTTCTATTTTCCCAATCATTGATTTTTATATATTTCAATTAAAAGTTAAACAAGCAGATTGAGTGGTTTAGAGATAAATACCTTTCAATTATCATAAAGTTTGAGAATAATTTCTTAAACACAGTGCAGTGGTAAGTTAAGTGGAGTGGAATGGAGGGCTCTCATATCATATATAAAGACAGGGATCCTTTTAAACTACTGTTATATAGCCCAATGATATAATAAATACTGTTGTTAGATGGACCAAAACAGTTGGTCAAAAGAAGCTAAGATGGTTGTACAAGTTAAAGCTATTTGCCGTGCGGAAAAAAAAAAGTTCTGGGCTTATATTCACCTTTTCACGGTTGAGGGCTTCATTTTCAGTTTGCCCTAATCAAGAAATGTAACATCATTCCTTTTTCTTTTAAACAAATTTAGTTCATTAGCTTGGACTATGTAATTGTCTGCTTTTTCCTTAAATTTTTGTACCCATTTAGAAAAATAATAATATATAATATTAAAAATAAAAATTTGAATATAATATATAATATATAATTTTGAGATTGTGGGTGGCCGATTGGGTTCCACGTCAAAACAGATATTCGTAATTAATGGTATCTTTTTCAAGTTATGGGCATCTAAAAGTGCAAGCAATGGCCAAATAATGATAAGTTGGAAAAATAACTCTGCCTGCTTGACTTGACAAAGCCCCTTCCAGTTCTAGCTGCACACTGCATGTTTATGAACATGACTTATTTCTGTAGTCTTGTTTTGTTTCTCTCCCTCCTTGCGTGTGTTTATATAAATTTATCCATGCAATGGACTTTGCTTGTCCATTTTTTTCGTAAATTATATGTTTGCTCTTCTTTATAATCTTACCTAACAATGATGCTTTAGATACTATGTGCGGTTGTTTTAAAATCGATAAGTAACCAACAGAAACAGACTTGGTTTGATTAAAACAGACTCAAGTCATTTAAATAGAAAATCGAGTATTTAATTTTTGTAAATAAACAAAATTCTCGCGGGATCGTTTCCTCCTTGTGGGCTTGACGCGCCGTGAATAAGAGTAGTCATTTTGACCTGAATGTATTTAATGTAAACAAATAATAACCAAGGACAGAGGGAAGGGGATTGTATTTTGAAAAATTTATATTAACCCTTTAAATTTTAAAGACTAGCTCAACTTCTGATACCACGAGATATACAAACCGTAACGACAGAAATAGGGGTGTA